GCCTTTTTTAATGTCTATACGCTTCTCTTGCTTGTTTATCTTTTCGCTCGTTTCTTTGTTCCATTCCATTGTTGCTGAAAATCGACTGTCAGCGATGGAGCATACTTTTGGGCTGAAGCTGGAAATGCAGTTGCATACCACGGAGGGCGACAGATGTACAATCCGTTCGAATCCTCTACCGCTCTATCCTCGTCCCTTGCTACCTGATCGATGTGTCATTTTGACAAGCAAATTAGCATACGCAGAGAGGGAGAGAGCTGGAGAGGGGGGGAGTTGCAACAAGAGGCACAAGCCTCTGAGGAGACAGCGTCATTTGCTGAGGATGATCGCCTGGGAGCTGCTATGGGATGGTTTAAGGTGGGATCGGCTTAGATAGGATGGGATGGGGATGGGACCACCATCATCATCATCGTTATCATCATGGCCATTCCCGCTGAGCGTGTGCTTTGGCCAAACATTTCCATTTCGAATGCATCTTCAAAGACAGCATTTGCAATGCAAAATGCTGCCGGCCCCCGCTGCCGTTTGAATGGGGATCGGATCGTTACATAAAGTATGCCACCAGAGCCGCACAGCACAGCACAGCACAGCGCCAGCGAAAGGCCAGGAAAGAAAAGGAATAGAAATGGCTGGCCGGCTGCCTGGCTGGCGAAGAAGGTGCAGCCCGAGTTGGAGTCAGGATCCGACCGGTGCGCCAGCAGCCTCTGGCAACGGCATCTTGATCATGTCATTTGTTCTGGGCCGTGGCACTGGCACTGGCACTGGCACCGACTTCTGTGGCAGTCGCTTCTGCAGCTGGGCTGCCACTTCCCGTTGGCCATAAACTGAGTCTAAAATAATTGCCCCAGCGCTGATTTCAATCAGCTAATTGACATTTTATGATGGACACATTCCTCTCCAATAGACAAATGAACGTCGAAGGTTGCCCAAATATTACATGAATTGATATGTTGTCCATCATATCGAGAACGTTCTTCATCATCGTTCTCTCCAATTCAATTCGATTTAGTTGGTTCGATAGATCGCTGGATAGCTGGATCACTGCTCGATCGGTCTGGGGATCGTCTGTTCTGTCGCTCTGTGCCCACTTTGGGCATACCAATCGACTGTCTAGGCGGCTGTCAGATGCCTTAACGGACGGGCTACAACATGGTGTGGCATGTTTCCTCCTGATAGATGACTCTGATTTCGTAGAAAACGAAAGGCCGCCTAGGGTCTGTCTAGGCAGTCTACCCTGCCGCCACCTGCACCACATGCCTGCCCGCTCTCCCAGTTGCCTATTTTAGTGCTAATTAATGAGAAGTACAAGCAGTCGTTCTAGTCGTTGCAGCTTAATTTGTCGCGGCTAGAGCGACTCGGATTGGCGAAGCCAGTTCCATGTTGCATGCACCAAGTGGGTAGCGCGAGATTGACGTGTCATCCGTGCTGTTGTTGCTGTTGCTGCTGCCGCTGCGGCGGCGTCTCTCCCTGTCAGCGACTGGACCTCTGTCGCCTGGTCAAGTGGAGTTGGACTGCGAGTCCGACTCCAACTCCATCTCCGACTTGTGCCTGACTTGTCGAGGAGTGTGGTGTGGTGCGGCAAGTTTCTATTTGCATACGCGCTAGCTCCGAGTGGCCCGCTTGATTTGCTGCCCGCTTGATGCCGCAATTGAATGAAAGTTTTTCGGCACGGCCAACGCCTCGCGGTTTTCACTAAAGTGCCTCGGTCGAGCCGTCGATTAGATTGGGCCACAGCATTTAGCTAATTACCGAGCTTGTCGAAGAGTTGTCTTCGCAAAAGGGAAGGGGGCCTAGCGAGGTGGAGTCACCTGAGTGGCGGTCAAACCGCTCAGAAGATGTCAGCCTGGTCGGATGGTCAAGTCGGATGCGGTTTTCTGAATTACTTCCAGTTGAAGAGTAGCGAAAGCACAGCATCTGAGGATGTGAATATGTACCGTCATAAGATATTCAAACAAATAATATAAGCACCATATTGCAAAAATCCAATCGGTTGGCTCTGGTGGAATCAAGAAAGTCAGTGTGACTCTACTATAAGTATATACTCGTAGTATAGTACTATAAGTATTAAGCCATATTAAAAGTGATTATCTGGATGTAGATTGGATTGGTTGAAATAGATTGGTATATTACAGGACCGTAGCTGTCCTAAGTTTTCATACAAAATTGCATTCTAGCATTTTAATCTAGTTTAAAATTACGGAATAACATTTTTTTTTATTTTTTAAGTAAAAATTCAACATATTGTTTAGTTTTTATTTTTATTAATGCTACAAATAAGAGTTATTTCGTAGCTTATATAAAAAAAAATAAATAATTAAATAATAAATGTACGTTTTCTATTTCTTTTAAAGGTGTAATTTATGTATTACCAAAATTGAAAAAATTTCAATATTCTTTATCTATGATTCAATACCTTTCATATGATGCATCATATGTCCTTCAAGGAAAAACATTCCATTTTTTCTTTTAAAGTTTGTTGCAGTCCTAAATGTAGTATTTATTGGCAAACAAAATACCAATAAAAACGAAAATATTATACAAATGTAGACAAAAAATTACTATTTTTGATTTTAAAGGAATTTTTCCCCTTTAACTTTGTTCAACGCTTTTACTTATGTCTAATTTGAATTTTGTAGTTTTAAATAATTTGAAAGTTTTGTATATTTCAAAATACATTTATTATGTTGCGTACCTTCTGGTCTTAAACGTTTTTTATAGGATTCCAGTATCCTTCGTCTCACCCATTCGGTTCTCCCACAATCTCCCATCATCAGAGGTGTCTACACCCCTCCCCCCCCCTGTCCGTTCTACTCGATCATCAATTGTTCGGGCTGTGAACACGCACATCCAGGACGGGGCTAATCCCCTGGGGCATACTCCTCCGATACTATGCAAATTTCGAGCATTCTGTTTTAGTTATGTGCAAATTTATTGTTTATAAAAAGCAGTAGTGCCACCAGCAGGGGTAAGGGTAAGGTAAGGGGTAAGGGGGCCGAGGTAACAAAGGGACAGCGGAGAGCGATTGCTGCCATTGTTTTTAGTTTTTTGTTATTTCTGTATTTATTTATTTATTTTTTATTTCGGTGGTGTGGTGTTTGGGGAGTTTTTGTGCCCCGAGTTGTGCTTCTGCTCTATCATCAACTGGTTTCGGGTTACGTGCACGCACACAGAGCAGAGTCCGGCGAGGAGGAGAGCGGAGATGCAGCAGCGATCACATAATTCGTGTTGCTGCCTCATCATTCTTATGCTTTTCCAGGCTGCGGCTCTGAGGCTGGGGCTCAGACTGGGGGCTTTGGCTTCGGCTCTGGCTCTGGCTCTGCAGTTGGAGAGGGAGAGGGCGAAGGAGAAGGAGAAGGCAGGAGCATCAGAACAAGAAGACGTTTTTTGCCAAGTTTATTTTTATCAACAGCGGCAGCATTTTGCTGCCGTTGCATGATGCCTTCTCCACCTCCTCCTCCTCGAACCCCACCAATTCAGCCAGGCCAGTGCCTCTGCTGCTGTGTGTATCTATAAAGACAAGAGCCAGGGCTTTTGCGGCCCGGCATCTCACGATCTTTAACATGTTTTGTCTCGATCAGTGAAATCATTCAATCAGAACGGTCAGCATCGGGCTGCGGTCGTTGCCAGGAGACACATACTTACACACACACACACACACACACACACACACTCGGAGAAACAATCTTGTAGTTGTAAATTATATAAGGCTAAACCGAATCTGGTTTTGTGCTTTTAAGGAAGAAAGCCAAAGCCTCCGCTTTCCGCTCTCCCTAGTGCGATCGATCCCCAGCGATCGATTGAAAGTGTTTGCCCCTTTTTGTGCCGCGAAATGCTCCGATCAGCTCCGCTCTGCAATTCATCTCACTGTTCATATCTATACCGTAATTATGCAGTATCTGAAAACATCCTCATATCTGTACCGTAGTTCTGACCAAGATCTGGCCAAAAAGCCATCAGTCAAATGCAGGAGCTGCTTGTCCATCCCACGGTAGCTGCCAATTTATGACACCCCAAACAGCTGAACAATATAAAAGGTACTTCCATTTGTTCCAGAGTCATCCTCTTTCTTCCATTCTGAAGGAGCACCAGCACAAGCACCAGCACCAGCAGGAGTGCGGGTCTCGAGTCCCGAGTCCATAAAGCATGTTTTTAAAATTCCATTAAAATTTATTAGCATTTCACACAAAATGTGCATAAATAACCTGGACCCAAATCGGGACTTTTGATACCACCTCTCTCGCTCATCGGTCAGAGAGTTAAGGAGAGGAGAGGAGAGGAGAGGCGGAGCGGTAGTCTGGAACGGTACCCGCGCTCTTTTAATGATAAAAAATTGGTTAACGTTTTCGGCCTTTGATACGCTCGTTGAGCATGCTGCGATTTCGATTTTTGGGTCTTTCAATCTTTGGGGTTTCGTAAATACATTTATTATGTGCGTGCTGCAGTTTGTTGGAGGGGGCATTCCCCCTGATAAACAGTGTATGCGCAACTCTGTTTGCATTTGTTTTCCCCTTCCCCTGCCTCCACGGACAAGCGTTGTTTATGGACGCATTATCTAAACAAATACGAAAATAACTCATTAAATTCAGAGGCCGTAAAACAGGGGCATTTTAAGGTGTTTTTCTTGGGAGGCGGAGAGGTTGTACATGAAATCAAGAAATTAGAGTTCATGAAATCCCGATCTTGCACGCTTCACCGTCCTGTTGCGCCACTGCCCCTCTTCCCCTGCTCTCATTTATTCTCTTATTCTTGGGATCGCTCTCCAAGCAGGCATGTAAATAATTTGACAGAAGAGTAAGTCCCAAGGCAACCCTCCACGGCTGGCCAGAGGTGAGAGACACGTGCAAAAGGCAAAAACGGTAACCAAGTGCACTGCCAAAGGGTGTTAAAACAGGGTGACGCCATTCTCAGGGAATGTGCTCGCTATAGAATCAATTTTTATTTTACTGTCACAACAAACAACAAATATGGGAGAGCGGGAAAACGAAACAAAAACTCAATAATTTTATTTTTTAAATTTGAATACACAGAAGCGTCGCATAAGCGATCACAGAAACAGTCACTCGATTATCAACACCAATTAATGACATACGATTGCAACATGGAACGCATTAGATTGCGAGGGTTAGCCGAGGCCCAGCCCCAGGCACGGGCGGGTCGGGTGCCGTTCCATCTGCAGCCGCATACGGCGCAATACCCCCCAACTGGTGAGTAGCTATGCGGCTCCCAAATCGCATTTGGCGTGTGCTAATCCTTAGGTCAGCCCAAATTCAGGGACGCTCGGGAGGATCTCTTCGGAAGGCAGCATTCGACCAGAGGACCACCGCCAGTGGCCGTGCTAATTCCAGTGCACCTTCGTTTAAATCCAAGCAGCTGGTGACAGCTCTCACTGTCGCATCAGCCCAAACGGCAGCGCCTGGGGCTCCAGCTTTACGTCCGGCTAAAGCTCCAGCCGGCGGGAAGATGACGAGGGAGTTTCTGCCTCGCGTGGCAGGACTCGCCCGCCGAGGTCAGCTTCCCCCGACACAGGTGAACCAATTCAAGACCTCATTGGCTAGGTCAGGGCCCAATAAGAAGATGCCACGCACTGTTGTTCAGAATCTGCGGGTGCTCGAGAATAGGACCGCCACCACCTGCGGAAGTGGTGACGCCAGCGACCTGATCGATCAGATTAGTGAAAGTCATGCCCAATGGATGGCGGAGATGCCGAAATCCAGCTTCACGTACTTTGGGCGGACAGATAATGACGTCAACGCCCCGTTAATGGAAGATCATTTTCCAGACGGACGCACGACCAGACGGGGCTCCACTTTTTCCGAAAAAACCTATGATGTAGCTTTCAATCTCGCTAGTGGGCCCGAGAAAAGCGAAGTACCAATAGCCTCAGCCTCGTTGGTCGCTTCTGACCAAGCGGCCGTGGATGCGTTTGCGGAGAGCTACCAGAAGTTGGTCGTAGGCCACAACCATCTGAAAAAGAAGCTCGCAAAGCTGACGTTGCTGAACAGATGGGGAGCCAATCATCAATGCATCATCGATCCGCTAGAGGACGCTGAAGGAGGAGGCCCACCACCGATACTCCCAACACCAGCGAAACCATCGACCAAGACCACCACCAACGCCAAGGCCAACGAGGCCAAGGTAAAAGAGGAACAGGACTACGAGTCCTCAAGCAGCTACTACACGCCCCCCCCCAGCTTCAGATCCATCAGCCGCATCCATCAGCGTCTGACCATCAGGAAAATGGAACTCCGGCACGTTACGGGTGAGGCTATGGTAATGCAGGAGTGTCGCACCTTCGCCAGGGTCCAGACTTTCGGCGTGATCGAGGAGTACAGTTTGAACTTGAATAGCATCATGAACGCAATGAATCCTGAGCCTGATCCCGATCCAAACACCGATCCATATACCGAAAAAGATCAGGAGATCATACTGCTACCTACTCCGGTTCCTGCTGCTGATTCCAATGCTGCTTCTTGTGGTGCTGGTGCTGGCGCCTACTCCGATATAATTCTACAGATGAACACCATGTGCCGCATCGCTCACGAGAAGATGGTGAAAAATGCCAATAACGACAAAGAAAAGGATATCTGGGCACAATTCTTTACCGAGATGGGACCTAGATTCATTCGATCGGCATCGACTGGCAATCGAGAGACGGAGATACCGTCTTGCGAATTTTTGGACTTATTGCACTCGAGGGCGCCGATGCATTCGATGTTGACATGCTTGACATCCAATGGCATCTCTACGCAAGCGCCCGAATATGAAGGTGAGAATGGATGGACCTCGACGATGGTCGAGCGCCTTCTGGTGACGGCGCTATCCTCTCTACCCATTCCCATAAAGGTGCATACCGGCACCCAGACAGAGATGCCAGAGGATCAGCCCCGGCCAACCACACCAAGACGCTCTGGTCCCAAGGCGACGAGGCAGGTGACAGTCGACAAAAAGGGTGTAGAAGTTTTCAAGAGAGTTCTGGTGGGGACAACCCAGATGCTGTTGTTCATCATGCTGATCGTGACCTGTAGCTATCCGGAGATCCGATGCCTCCCCAATTGACGTTCCACAATGACTCAGATATCAAAATTTTGTTTTCCACACTTCGTTTCCGCAAACTCGCTCAAAAAGAGAGTGGATCCAGAGGGAAAAATCAATGCTGATATATAAATTCTTGTTTGAGTCGATTATGCCCCATAGAAACATGCCCGAAACTGAAAAAAAAAAACAAATTCGAAGTCTATATTATTTATTTTGCATTCAAGCATTTATTTATTTTCCTATGAGTATGTTCTCAAATTGCAGATTTCCAAGAAGACAGAAATAGCGAAACGGTTCAAGTCAGTGATATATGAATCTAGGTAAGCAATCAGCATAGTGCTGGGGTAGTAGAGAAAAGAAAAGATAGAAGAGAAACGAAGATAACTAAGCGGCAATGAAGCCGTTAAAATCAAAATTAAAATATTAAAAAAGGCCTATAACGAGGAAGTAAAGGAGTACAGGAAAATGAATATTACATTATAAAAGAAATATGCTGTTATATTTTTAAAATCTTACAATAACGTGTTGGTACGTCCCATTCTGCTGTCGTTTATTCGAAATGGATGACTTTATTATTGAAAACATTCAAAATAATCATTATTTACAGACCGTGTTCAAATAATAAAGATATAGTCGTTGGACAGCGAAATAGTATGGAATCGGTTATGAATAGAAAGGGTGCATTGCCAAAGAGAGAGAGAGAGAGAGGAAGAGAAAGAGCGGGAGCTAGAGAGTGTGTGCGTGCGTGAGTGGAGAGCATGTGGAAGAGATCGTTCAGTTCATTTAAGCTCTTCCCAGTATTTCCAGCTGCTGTTGCCAGAACCTTCCCGGCTTCACATCCCCATTCCCCTTCCTTTCTTCTTTCTTTTATTGCGTCGCTTGTTCTTTTTTCTTCTGCTTGCAATGCAAAGTGCATTAAGCCGCTGTTGCTGCCGCTGCCTCTGCCTCTGCCTCAGCTGGCGCTCCTCTTAGCCGTGATTCCTGGCGCGGCTATAAATGACAGGTTCCATGCGCATTTCCCTTTCAGTATCGAGCTATCGGCGCAGGCGCAATGAACCGCTGGCTAACCTGTGGGTGCCTCTGCCTCCCCAGCCACCGCCACACATCCCGATCCCTAATCTCTCCCGCTCTTCTCAGTTCTACTTTTAGTTGGAGTGCTATCTGTCCCCGGAGGGTGGGGCAACACCATCCAGGAGCGCAATCTATTCGCCACGGAGCTGTTCCAGACCCTGGCCACGGACCGGCAGGACGAGAATGTGATCATCTCGCCGGTGTCCATCCAGCTGGCCTTGGGCCTGGCCTACTACGGGGCGGAGGGCAGGACCGCCACGGAGCTGCAGAAGACGCTGCACGCCTCGGCCAAGGAGAGCAAGGACGGGCTGGCCGAGACCTACCACCGACTGCTCCACTCCTACATCAAGTCCAAGACGGTGCTGGAGATCGCCAACAAGGTGTACACGCGGGAGAACCTCAAGGTGGCGTCCCACTTCCGGGAGGTGGCCCAGAAGTACTTCGACTCGGACGTGGAGGCGCTGGACTTCAGCCGCGAGACGGAGGCCGTCGACCGCATCAACGCGTGGGTGAAGCAGGAGACCCAGGACAAGATCGAGCGGGTGGTGGACAGCCTGGAGCCGGACACAAACGTGGCTCTGGTCAACGCCATCTACTTCAAGGCCCGTTGGGCGCGGCCCTTCAACGATGAGGACACCCGCGACCGCGACTTCTGGCTCGGCGAACGCCAGTCCATTCAGGTGCCCACGATGTTCGCGGACAACTGGTACTACTACGCCGACTACCCGGAGCTGGACGCCAAAGCCATCGAGCTGTTCTTCGAGAACATCAACATGACCATGTGGTTCATCCTGCCCAACCAGCGCTCCGGCCTGCGATCCCTCGAGGAGAAGCTGAAGGGCGTGGACTTCAAGCTGCTGGAGGACCGCTGGCAGTGGCAGAGTGTGTCCGTCTATCTACCCAAGTTCAAGTTCGAGTTTGACACGGATCTGAAGCCCACTCTGAACAAGGTAAGAGGGATTATGACTGGATTCACTGCATCCTCATCTCAATTTTGTTCCGCTTTCGAAGATGGGCATCAGCGCCATGTTCTCGGATTCGGCTGACTTTAGCAACATCTTCGAGGACTCGCCCATTGGCACTCGAATCAGCAAGGTGCAGCACAAGACCTTCATCGATGTGAACGAGATCGGCTGCGAGGCTGCAGGCGTCAGTTGTAAGTAGCATCCAGAATACCGACTCCCTTCTCGGACTATGCCCATAATACTCTGTACTTTAGATGCCGCTGGAGTCCCCATGTCGCTGCCCCTGGATCCGAAGACCTTTGTGGCCGACCATCCGTTTGTGTTTATTATACGCGACCAGCATGCGGTCTACTTTACGGGACACATTGTCAAGTTCTAGATATATGTATTCCCATATCATCAGCATTTCATCAATCAATCACTATAACTATGCAAATACATTTGTAATCGCTTCATTAATGAATAAATTGGAAGCTCTCCACTAGATTTAAAAGGTCACGGCTGTGCAATATGGTGTATGGGTCTCGTTATTGCACTGTTTATCGGAGACAAGTTTCACCACTGAAAGGAAAACCTGCTATAGGGGGAGGCATAATGGGCTAGCTTTCTTCGATCCTTACCGCTCATTCCCTTCACCTTGCGGGCACAGTTGAATATTTTGATGGTACACAGTTCCGTGTTGAAGTAGCAGCCATTGAAGGCACAAACCATCGTTCCGTCGGGAGTCGGGCAGGTGTTCGGGCATAGCCTTTCGGGCGTAGCCTCTTGGAAGGCTGCTTGGATGAGGGCGAATACTGCAATGAAGGATTGTAGTAAAGTGTTGTGGAAATCCTCCTAAATTGCTAGACAATACCAAAGAGGAGCACTGCAACGAGCTTCATGTTCGATCGATCCATGAAAATGATTCTAAAAACTTAAATGTTCTTCCAAAGTGGCAGGCGTGACTTCCAGCCATGCCAAATCCATTATAATGGGTTAAAGAATCAAATTATGATAAATGCAAGTCACAGAAAACCACTTTGGTACTAACGATGGGGTATTTGTGTTCGGTGTTTACCTCAATCCTGTATGTACCTTGGTTTCATTGGTGCCGGCCAGGAATTTTACTGATATTTCATGGCGTGGTCATGTTTACAGAGACCCGTCAGTGGGACTCTTTTATTGGCCTTTACGAAAGCTAAAAATAAACATAAAAGCCGTGGAATAAATATGAATATTATGGAAGTCAATTGCAATATTTAACTCGAAACTGAAAAACGGAACGTGCGACCAAAAAACCAAAAAATTTCAAGTGGGGAGAAATTTAAGCTGGATCGAAAACTGGAATCCGACCACTGCATACTCTTCCCCGCCATACACGATTCCATCAAGATTTCGTTGGATTATTCTTCCTCCGCCCCCCCCTCCCGGTGGGCAAGGCCCGTCTAGGATCTGGGATTAGTTAAATGAACTGTCAGATATAAGAAGAAACGAGTTTCTTCTTCAAAACAATCAAGATCTCTAGCCCTTCTCTGGAGTGGCAGGCAGTACTTGCAGACAGGGACAGAGATATTTCTGGCATTTGTTTTAAAAGCGCCTGCGCCAGTGCCTGTGCCTGTGCCTGCACCTGCACCTGCTGCTGGTGGTGCACTGGGAAGGGGAAGGGGTTAGGTTATTCGTTTTAAAATTCCGCTCACAAAACGAGAAAACAAAGAAAGAAAAGGAGAAACAGAAGAAACAGGGAGAACTTGTCAGGGCGCACATAAACAATTCTAACAAAGGGACGGACACTCGAGAGGAGACATGCCACATGCGAAGCGTTCCAAGAGGGAGCACTGCAGGAATTACAATTACAACGGCAGCAGCAAGGTGTATTCATGCAGGGTGAACCATTCACAGAAAGTGCTCTAACGTCAGTTGCATTTTGTAGCTCCCCTTGATTCAATATACTTTGCACAGGGAAGGGAAGAGCTGCCTGTGGCTGTGTTCCCAGTATCAATCGTTCTGCGATTACCAGTATTTCCAGTGCCGAAAGAGCGAGCGCTCGGGAGAGCGACCCCCAGTGGGAGAGCGTGCTAGTCGGCGCTCGACTCCCCGATTGGAGTTCGTCGTTGGGGCCGATCGCAGCGCGCCGTCAGTCTGCTTTCAGACACGATCACGCGCGCGCACTCTCGCCCCACGTTGAAAAGTCCATGCTGCGCATGCGCGAAACGGAGTGAAAGAAACGTTATTGCAACTGCGACTGCCCCCGCGTTTTGGGCTGGCCTTCTTATCAAGTGGCGAGGATCGGATCCGGGGCAGCTGTCTCTCCCGCCCGGGGCTTGCGTGTGCACCGTCCCGTGCTACTGCTAAAGGAGTTTTAATGAATAAAAAATATATACATATATGCAACAAGTTGGCCGCGGCCGCTTCCACTACCGCAACCGTACGAGTATATGTATATCATTTTATGTGTGTGTGCGTCTCAGTCTGTGTTTTTGTGTGTTTTGGTGAAGTAAGAAAATGTGCATCAATTATTTTAAATGGTCAACTTAATGCCCCTGTTCCAGTACCGCGGCGTCAGTCCATGTCCCTGCCACAGCGCGACATCCAATCAGCGCGAAATGTCCGCCACTTTGTGCGACTTGCCCCCAAACACAGATCCCCAGCAGTAAACACAATTACGGCGAATGGAAGCCAAACGTAATTCGGGTCCGCGAACCAGTTTGTAGTGCCAATCCACCAATCGACAGGCACACTGCACCTCCACCTCCACATCCACATCCACATCCAGTCCGGCCAATGTTTCTCCCAAGAAACACAACTGCAAAAAAGTTATAGCCAAAAAGAAAAAAACCTAATAATAAATACGCCTAAGCTCAAATTGTTGTCAGTTTTGTGCGGCTTTCGTTGATTTATGTCCGCGATTAAAGGAAACACAGCAACAGCAGAAAAGTCAGAAAAGCAGCGACAGAATACGATAATAAATAAATCCGAGGAGAAATATGTGCCACAAGGCTGCACCCCACCCTTGCCCCAAGTGAATAAACCCCCCGCCCCCAGTGAGATACCTATGAATGCAAATCAAGCGAAAAACAAAGCCACAAGGCAACAGCTGATAAAACGCCAGAGATAAGCAAAACAAGGATAAATCCCCACCATGGATAAACCCAATCAGATGCCCATGGAGCTAGAGAGGTGAGTGTGCCCCAAAAACAAATTGATTTGAAATGTGTACATTTTATGCAGCGGAGGAGCTCATGAACCAATAGGATGTATCGCTTCTCAAAGATTGTGCACTTTTCATTAGCTAACATCGAAAGAAAACACTTAACACCTCTCCAGATAGGTTTCACGCGAATTTAATAAATTTATTACTGTCAATCCAACCACAATTTTGCTTTTTATTAAGCTTTTATTTAGCTGTTTGCTTGGGAATTATTCAACAATATAGTTAACAAAAAATATAAAGTATTCCAGAGTCCGCCTCAGACATACGCATAGTTGGCTATGTGCCCGATGAAGGCTATCGAGTCCCTGTACTTCACAGCAAACACGAACGGATGATCGGCCTCGAACTTCTTGGACCTCGAGAAGAGGCCCTTGAGAACTATTTGTGGGAGGGAATTCAGTATACATATAGCATATAAAGGCTATAGAGGGACACAATGGTCCGTATACTCACCGCCTGATTCTAGGGGCTGTTCCACTCCCGCCTCCGACACCTCAACATTGGCCTTGTGCTCCACGGCATTGATGAAGTGGCTCACGAACATGCGGTACATGTTGCTGAAGTCCCCGTCGCGGGAGAACATGGTGTGGACACCCAGCTATGTGTGCGGCAGAGGAAGACAAATACTTCAGTTCAGTTCTATTCGGGGATACGAGCGGAAAAACTCACCTGTTTGAAGGGTTTCTCCAGGCCCAGGCCAAAGGTAACGCTGAATTTGGGCAGCAGCACCTCCACCTTCTGCTGGCTCATCTCTCCGATCTCCGCCAGTAGGTTCTTTCCCACCAAGGACTGCTGGAGGGATCTCAGACCATCCTTGCGGTTGGGCAGGAGCAGCAGCATCGAGAAGTCCGCGTTCTGGTAGGGCAGCTCCACGACCTTGGCGTCCAGGGTGCGCACCTCGGCATAGTTAAAGTTCTGCAGTGTCCACATGGTGTCCACGCGCACGGACTGTCCGTTGCCGGTGCGGAAGGAGCGCTTCTCGGTCTTGTCCAGCTTGAAGGCCTTCTGCCAGGGCGCCGCAAAGGAGACTCCATTCACGATGACGCCCTCGGTGCGATCGTTGAGCAGCTCGGCCGCGAGGATGTCGGTTATCTTTCCATTGGTCTTGGTGGCGATCGCTCGGTTGATGCCATCCGCTGTCCGCTTGTTGTACGGCGGATGGAAGTCCAGCTTGTCGATGTTTGAGTCGAACTGGCGCTGGGCCACGTCCCGGAAAGAGCCCTTGAACTCCAGGTTCTCGTTGATGTAGATGTTGTTGGCCAGCCGCAGATTGTTGTCGCGTGTCAGCGACTGCTGGTAGCTGCCAAAGCGCTGGCTCACCTGGTCGACATCGCCTGGACCCAACCGCAAGCCCTGCTGGAGCTCGCTGGCCGTCTGACCCTTGGCTCCCACGAAGGCCAAAGCCATGGAGCTCTGGATGCTAGCTGGCGAAATCACAACGTTCTCATTCAGGTGGTCGGCGCCCACCGCATTGTAGAGATCAGCGGCCAGCAAATTGCGATCAATCGAGGGATCAAAACCTGCGTTGGTCTTTGCATGCGAGAGGCTCACGAGGAACACTAAAGGAATGGAGCGAATGCATGGTGTTAGTTTGTTAGCGACACTTTCCCTACTTTCCCCAAGCAGCGAGTATAAGCCTTCAGGAGCGAATGCCTTTATCATAAGTAGTCATAAGAACATTCTGACTGCTCTGTCCAACGACACGTCCGCAAGGGCACGTACTAAATGTTTCGGCCCACAAGATTGTCCCCTCCTCTATATGGAATATTGTGGATCTGAACCCATAAAACCCTCAAACCAGATCGTATGAGTATCTGCGTATAAATTGGAGCTTACGTAATAGGCAGCTGACGATGACAGCCATGGTCGTTGAATTTATATGTGTATACGTATGTCGTATAAATGGCTGATGGGGCGGCTCCTCCACTGATTCGCACTTGCGACAGACCCGATCGCGTCGGAATGTGAACTGAACGGGCAGTCGCCCGTCGATCCGCCTTGGAGGCTGTGCGCGATGGGACTCTCACCGAATTCAATTCAATTCAATTCCAAGCGGAGCTCTCTCTCTTTTTCGGGGTCTGAGAGGCGCAGACGGACGGAGTGTTTACAAACCATTTGTCACCTTTGGCTTACTTCGGTCTTCGTTTATTTGCTATGAACTAAAACTGATTTGAGCTCAACTCAGGGACTGATAAGGCGATAACCCCAAAGGCTGGAGTCAGTCGCGTTGAACAGAATGTGAATATGCATTAGGCGGCCGAGGGCACTCAGATGTCGACGATGTGGCCGGCCAGCAGCAGGGTCTTGTCATTGCCGATGGCGTAGAAGAACGGATGATTGATGACCAGGGGCAGGGCGCGTCGAAACAGATCCCCAAAGGCTGTAAAGACGGCAGCTGATTAAAGAGAGGCTTCTTCTTCGGACACGATACCCAGCCGGATCACAGTCCACTTACAGAACGAGTCGCCGGCGGATCCGCCCTCCTCCTGCAGCTCCAGCAGCGTGCTCTGGGCCATCTCGCCCAGATGGGGGGCCGAGCTGGCAAGCAGCGAACTGAAGACTTCGCTCAGCTGAGCCTCCGCTGTGAAGAGTCTCGTCAAGCCGGACTGCAAGACAAACATGGAAGGGGGGATGTGGCTTACAGACTCTACTAGCTCAGACGGAAACGCCCTATTTCCTCACCTCTTTCAGAACCTTGGCGAGTTGTGCGTGCACCAACACCTGGAACTTGGGCAGTGTGAGGGCTATCTTGCGCTCTTGCATCTGTCCTCTGAGATACTGCAGATCGTACTTCCCCAGCTGCTGCTCCAGCTCCGACAGGCCATCGGCCCGCCTCGGGAAGATGAGGAGCAGCCGCAGATCGGCTGTGGCAAAGGGCAGCTCGATCAGCTCCGCGTCCAGAGCGGCTACCTCCGCATACCTGAAGCGATGCTGCCCAAACATGGCCTCCACCAGCTTGGGCCGCTGTCCCTCGCTGAAGAAATTGATGCGCTGCGTTTCGTCCGGGTCGAAGCTCTGGGCCCAGGGTGCCCGGAACGTCACCGCCGACACGTGCAGGAAGGGCGTGTCGTGTTCGGAGATGGTCTCGAGCTGCGAAGCGCTAACCAACTCTCCCACGCTGTAGTTGCTGCGGCTAAGGAAGTCGTAGTTGATGACCTGGGCGGCGCTAGCGGGGGTCTCCCAGTCGAGGCGATGGCTGCCGACTCCCATTTGGGCCGCGAGCGCCTGGAACTCGTCGCGATAGTTGAAGGTGAAGCGCTGCAGGGTATAGAAGTCGCTGAGGAGACGCAGCCGACAGCCCACGGCAGAGGATTGCTTCAGTTCTGCGAGCAGTTCCCGGAGTCCACTGAGGGCCTGTCGCGGGCTTCCCGCATGCTGCAGATCGAGAACATCGCGTAGTTCCCTGGCGGCAGCGGAGTCGGGATCGGTGCCAGCATACAGCAGCCCGAGAGCCGCCTGCACGAGGACGGGGGAGACGGCCACGTTGACATTCGGCTGACTCCTTCCCAGCCTGGAGGAGAGTCGCAGCCCGAAGCGATAGTTGGAGGCACTGGCTGCGGCTGCTCCCGGACTGCCCGAGGCCTCGCCACCGACTGCCAGCTGCTGGATAGCCAACAGCGTCAGTATCACAGCCAGAGTTAGGCCGGAGAGTGGGTGTCGTCTCCAGTGAGTATTGATCATGCTTCCAGTTGGGGGCGGGCTGGGGCTATTCCAAGCTTTGGCTTTCGTAGTTAGTGGTCCAGTGGCTTAGACGCAACTAAGCGTCGCGACGTCAGACGACGCACGAGCTCTCATTCATGGAAATTCAAAACACTTCGAGACATTGAGTCGGTCCACAAAAAATTGATTGTGAAGCGAAAAGCTCGGCATTGAAATTCTTTAGCGATACCGAGGGGTATACCGAGTCGTCATGGCGGAGCGCCGGAGAACAAACAACAAATCGAACCCCACAATCAAATTGAGAGGGAGAGATAGAGAGAGAAATACGCTTTTAGAGAGAGGGAGTGATTCTATCCAGTTTTCTTATCGCGCACGAAACGATTTCAAGATCAGGCTTTGACTCTCCCTCTCTGTCATTGTCTCAGTGGGCTTCTCTACACTCAGAAAAAAAGTCTACAAGCATTGAGCCACGAACATTAGGCACAGATGGGTATGAACTTGGACATATTTGGGGATGGTGGACCCAGAGAAAAAGAGCATATACTAAATATAAATATATTTAATATTTAATTTTGGGTGTGTTTCTTTTTACTACCACTTTACGTTCGTATATTCGAGTCTTATTCCAGGGCTAACAATTAGTGCGTGCTTTTCTAGCGCCTTTTTTCTTCAAGTGCAGGCAACCTTGGCTGGAGGCTATTAATTATGGCCAGCTTTCAGCGGGTATTCCAATTACTCATCTGGCTTGCCTCGGCTGCCACTCGGGCTTTCCCCTCTCTCTATCGCTCGATTCAGATACACTCGTAGTGCGCATGAGGAAGTTCTTCTCGATTTGAAAAATGATTGAGAAATTCGCTATTTATTTATAGCCACTCTAGTGAGGCAATGGGCTGTTTCTGTGGCTGTGTCTGTGTCTGTGTCTGTGCCTGTGGCAGCGCCGGGCCAGGCGTATGGCTGAGATCGTGGCTGGCTCCCCAAACGGGTTTGCCAACTTACAGAAGCAGGCGAACAGCAATCGCTGGAAATTCAGAATCAAAATCAGCGACAGAACGAGAATTCACGTGTATGGCTGGGAAAAGGCACCCACCGCCTTGGAATCGGAATCCCAGTCTCATCTGAAGGTGCAGGTGCAAGGGCAGTAGGGGAGGATAGAAAGGTTATCGGTTATAGAGCGAAAGGTTATTCGCAGCGAAGTAGTCCAGGAATATGAGTATTATTCACTTTATTATATGTTTCACAAATGCATCGTTCTCTAGCCTATAGTGTGTCGCAGGATTGAGTGAGGGGAGTCGCGTAGAGTGCGAGGGGGGCCATCTTAGGCCATCGCCGTGGGCTGCAGCACGTGGCCGATGAAGAGCACCGAGTCGGGAGTGCGGAGGGCAAAGACGAACGGATGATCGGCATTGAACTCCCGCGACTTGACGGGCAGAGAGAGTGGCACGAACTTGGCATCTGGAGAGGGCGAGGGGAGAGAGGAAGTCAAATTAGTCCTGGAATGGGAAATCCTATCGAGAGAGAGGGAGAGGAGTACTCACATGAAGCTGCCGCTGCCTCGGATCCTGCCTCGTTCACGTTGAGGAAGGCCTTCTGCAGGATTTTGGACACCCGCACGGGGCGGTCCAGCATTTTTGTGACCTGAGAGCTGCGTGTGAACATCTCGCGGACGCCGAGCTGCTGCAGGGGCTCCGTCATGTCCTGTTCGAACTGGATGCGGAACTTGGGGATCCTAATGGTCACCGTCTCCTGGCGCAGGCGCGCCGCAATCCTGTTGAGATCGTTCTGGGGACGGGCCAGTTGCTGCTCGAGCTGGGCCAGGCCATCCACTTGGTAGGGGAGGAGGATCAGCATGCTGACCTCACTGTCGGCGTAGGGCATCTCCAGGGCAGTGGCGCCAAGGTCCGGGAGATCCGCATAGCCGAACACGTCGTCATTGAACATCATGGCCACGTTGCTGGGGGCGCCGCTTCCACGCCGGAACTTGCCGGAAATCGTATCCGTGGCGGAGAACTCGGTGGCCCAGCGGGCCTTGAAGTAAATGGCGTTCACCAGCATCGCCTCCGTCTGGCCATCGATGTCGCTGGGGGTGACTAGTTCCCGAATCTTGTTTCGAGTCTTGTCCGACACCCAGGCGTTTATCCAGCCAGCCGTCTCCCTGGAGCGGCCCATATCGACGGGCTCAATGCCCGAGGAATAGTAGTATTCGGCGTACTCCGGGTAGTCATGATTGATACCCCCCATATTCTTGTTGTAGAACATCCGGCTGGCCATGGTCAGCTCCGCGCTCTGCAGCTGCCGCCGCTGCTTGATCAGCTGTCGGAAGTCCTGCCCCACGGCCTGCGGATCGGGGCCGAATTCTCCTGCCTGCTGCAGCTCCTGGGCGGTCCGGCCCTCGGAGGCCCCATAGATCATGCCGAGCAGCGCGTGCACCGATACTGGCGAGAAGACCAAATTCTGTCTCTGCGATCTGCTGGCGATCGGCTGGAAGAGCTTCGAGCTGAAGCGATCCTTGAAGCTTTGCTTGGCCGGAGGTCGCGTGGGACTGTTGGAGACCGTGGGCAGCGGCACCTCATTGGCACCCAGCACATTGGCCGGCTGTCTCTGGGGCGGTATCTGGCTGTTGGGATTTTGGGGCTGTCTCTCCTGGCTGTTTCCCGGCGGCTGGACCTCCTCCAGTGGCCGTTGGTTGTCTGGCGGGCCCTGGGTCTGCGGCAGGACTTGCCCCTGAGCTCTGGCCGTTGACGGAGACGCGACTGCTCCTCCAAATCGCGATGCGAGGTTGACGGCGTATGTCCCCCGGTAATAGGATTGAGCAGCCACGAGGTAGGGGCCCATCAACAGGAGCAGGATTACTGAAATCGGAACAGAGATTGGAGTACAGATCGCGCCGCAAGAAATGCTCTTCCTCTGCTTACTGCATTTGCTTGCCATTTTTGCTGTTATCTCAGCCGCTTGACCCGTTGTTACGTTACTGCTTACGTCCCTCCGCTTTTCCACTATATTTAAATAAATATAAATAAATTCCTTGTCGTCGTCCGGCCTGCTGGGGTGTAGTGCTGAGACGATCAGCACGATTGCAGCTTTAATACAAAACTGATCATTCGCCCGTCCCAGGGGCGAGCTCGGACTAAGAGATGATCGCAGATCGCAGATGGCAGAGAGAAGCGCGAGACAGAGAGAGAGAGAACCGGTCCAGAACACGACTGAGGCTATAGCATACACTCGTACATATGCTATATGCTGGGATAGGATCGGAGAGCAGCAGCAGCAGAGCGATCCGGCAAACCAGTTGAGCGGAGCACAGCGGAGTCGATCGAAGCTGAGCTTTGTGCTGCTCTCCTCTCCGTCTGTTTACAGGCCGTTGAGTAGGGAAAAACCCCAGCACGGCACTGCTGATTCTAATTGCACAAAGCAATACGGGTACAGGCATCTATGCATAATGCCCCCGGACTCGAGAAAACACACACACATACGAAGAATGCCTGGTTTTCCCGATCTCTGCCCCCGAATGGGACGTTCTTGGGGCGGGCGCGTGGGTTGCCGCTGCGATTCCCATTCCCATTTCCATCCCATTTCCATTGCAGTTGCAGTTGCACTTGGCAGAACTCTGACGTGACTCATCCGAATGGATTCGGTGAAAGAATCTCCAAGTGGAAACCTGACGAGAGTTCTGTTTGTTGTATTTATAGAAGCATTATCTTGGTCTGGGGATCGACTCATAACTCTGCCACTTCCTGCTGACATTTTTATGCTACAAAATGCTACCTAAGCCATTAGATAAATTTTACATTTCGTAGTCCCAGACCATAAATATTAGCGCGAGAACCTAATTAGGTATTCCTCTCCCGGGAGAATCCAGCAGATAAAACGAAAGACCTCACACGGGGTCTCTTTCTCTCTCTGCATCCCAGCCTGTTGCAGCTCCGTTTTCATTTCCATTTCCAGTTTCTCTTCTGCCCCAAACGCAACCTTCTTAATTATGTAAAACTCGAACACGAAATGCATTTCATATCAGCACTTCGCTTCGTCCCCCCTTCCGCTCTCAATCTGGTTCGCTCTGTGACCCAATTGCAGGCGGCCGAATGTGTAAACATAATTTACTCCAATTAGAGTCTCCGCCGCCTTATTAGTGCGCCACGCCCACGGCCCCGCACACTGCCACCGCCGCCTGTTGCTTCTGCAACACGGTGAAATTGGGGCACATTCAGAGTACATCGCAGATAGTAGGAATACCCCGGCAGGCATAGGCACAAAATGCAATCAATAAATGCAGAGGAACCGGAGTTAAAAGCCGAAGCGCGGCAGTTGGGGGCACAGCCGAGAGCTAATTGTGGTGCCCCCAGGTGCGTTCATTCCATTCCATTCCATTCAACTCTGTCCCTCTCTCGCTCTCTATGTGTTTTGACTGATATGAAGTTAAGTGTTTTGCCAGTGCAAACAAGAGCATGCCTCCAATAAACAGAGGGCGAGCGATTTCGGTTTGATTTGGTCTAGGGAACGGAGTGATTCTGTTGGAGGGCAGCTGGCATTCAGAAACAGTTCCTCAGATAGCTTTTGGTACCACTTTCAGCTGTCACTTGAAATAAGAATTGCTTCAATCAGATGCTATCTTTCCCAAGTGCCGATAAAGGAAAATATTCCACAGATGAATCAGTCATTCACATACGTGTATTAGAAGATGCTATTTCTCTGGGTGTACAATTCAGAGAATATTTATTTTTTATTAGATGATAACCTTTAAAATTCTAATAATTTAAATCTCCCTCTTCTTGACTTCCAATGAAAAAGAATTAATTTTTTAAACACAATTCGGGCTGATAAATCGAAAGAAAGACAAACTAAGTCAAAGATCAATCCGAGATTCATATGAATTGCAGGGAAGTAGAGCATAAATCTAATACAATTGTTCATACGAAGCTTGAAGGAAGAAAAGTACAGTCTGCCTTTTCTCTGCATTCCACTATTCATTGCAATTTCCTTCAATTATTCACTCAATTACGCTCGGATACATGCCCCCCTCTCCAACACAGGCCACAGTCGGGGCGGTGCAGACCGCATGAAAATATTATAAATTGTCACTGCAATGTTGCCTCAATTAGCGAGTGCAACATGTTGCCGGTGTGGCAGGCGAGGCGGGCGAGGCAAACCACAAAAGCAATTTGTTTCTGGAAACCGACTCTAGTTGCCACTCATTAATTTGCGTGCTGAGTGGCGACTCGCTGAAGCATTAAATGGCATAGCAGGAGGAGGAGAAGGAGGAGTAGGAGTGGGTCTCCGATGAATTGGAGGTGGCAAATGAGGCACACACACTGACTGTCCGTTGGTTGTCCGTTGGCTGTCCGTTGGCGTTGCTTACAACAAAATCGCATTAAATTGCACGTTTGCCGCACGATTTGCCCGATTTGCATATAATTATGGTAAATAAATCATAAAGTCGCCATCAAAATATTTACACATGCGACTTCCAAATGTGGCGAGAGTCTTGCAGCCGACAAGACAAGTCTGTCTGGCTCTGCGGCCAGCAACATGTTGCTAACGAGCCGAATGAATGTGGGGACTCTTGCGGAGAACGCACGTTCCTGGAGCCGCTCTGCATCCGGAGCTGGCATCAATTAAAGCGACATAAAGAAAACTTATAATTTTCCTGCAACTTAATCATAGTCGGCATTCTTTGTCCCCCCTGTTGGCTTTTCGCCCCATGCCCCTGTTCTGTACCACTGTGGAGCCACGTAAATGCGGCCGATCATGCATTTAGCAGCACTTATAGAAATTGCTGGGGAAGCTCCTCATCCTCTCCCTCCCTCCGCCTCTCTCGGGTCTTCCTCTTTTCGCAAGAACTGGACAGCGAGTGCGGGGGTGGTGGAGTATCGAAAGGGAGCAACGGGTAGAGAGGAGAGGAGACTGGGGGTAATCGCTGTTTAAATTTGTACTTCGTGATGCAATCATTCTGAATGTCGGAGAGCTCTGGAGAGAGTCTCTGGTTCTGGCTCTGGCTCTAGCTCTCGCCTATTAAGCTCTTTTTACGATAGGCGCCATAATGGGTCGAGCCTTAACACACACACACACACACACACACACACACACACACACACACACACACCCCCATACAGATATATACAAGACACCCACACACAGAGATTGGGAGAGAGAACAGAGCTGAGGTCAGCAGCCAGTTGTGTTGGGCTCCATTGTTTGCAGCTCCTTTTTTGGGCTTGGCTCTGGGGCTCTGGCTCTGGACCTGCACTCTGCGTGTTCTTTATTGATCTAAATTTGTGGTTTGCAAATTTGTTGGTCTCTCAAGTTCTGTGAAGAGAGACAGAGACAGAGCGAGAAAGAGAAAGAGAGAGCCAGTCTGCTGCTTATCTTTTGGCATTCCATTGGCATTTGGGCCGAGGAGCAATTGCTGTTATTTCCTTTATAGATTTAACTCCACTCTAATGAGCCGAAATCTTAAGCACTGCCATCTCTGCTGGCGGCCCATGTCTGGCACTGGTATTGTAATCAGTTAACGCTTAATTGGGGCCCCAGCCACGCCCCTGAATCTCTGGTGGGGCATGCAATGGTGGGCCGCCACGGCTGGGAATCAGAAGCGAGATTAGGCGGAAGTACCGCTAAAGCAAACTGCTAATGCCAGTGGCAGCCTTTGTGGCTGGCATTTTGTTTTATTTCTTGTAACCAACTTCTCGACTGGCCAATATATCAGAAAGAAGAAAAAATAAAAAAGTGGATGAAAAACAACAAGGGAACAAGCCCGCATGTAGCAAGTACAAGAAAACGAGCGGAACACCCTTTCATTAGAGTAAAAACCAAGGCGAAAAACAACAACTGCAGAATAATGATGAATTGCGGCATTATCGCACGGTAATACCCCCATGGAGGAGACGACGACGACGACGACGACGACGACGACGACGACGAGACCCAGAACTACATAGGAAACTGGAGCACTCAGGCACGAAACGAACAGGGCCAGGCCACGTCAGGGTGGAGACCAGGGCAGAGGAGACCAGGCCGGGCCAACAGAACAGACCCAAGACCATGCCAGATCCAAGAGCCCGAGAGCCCGAGAGCCAAGAGCCAAGACAAATATGTAATTGGCCGGCAGACACGAAGGTGCGCGAGTATCACGTACCACACAGCCAGGCTCAAATGCATCGACATGATGATTTATTTGCATTGCAAAAGACAAGAACATGGCACTGTGAGAAATCGGGGGAGGAGGGAACAGAGAGACACTGCTCACAGAAAGAAAGTTTTTTCATTTCCCATCAAGCTTCGAGGCAACAGACTCGTATAGCTACATAATTCTTGGCGAAGGTCAAGTGTTAGAGGAAAACCCAGTTCGTCTGCCAATTAAAATCACTAGCAAGTGCGAATGCAAATCCTTTTCTTTGCCCAAGCGTTTCTTTCAGTGCGCTTTGAAGAGAGGAAAATCCAACACGTAGTCGTGGCCAATTTCCCGAACAACTTAATTGAATTGTGCTCTGGGCTCTGGGCTGAGTGCAACGCCTCGTATACGCAATGTTTGCTCCTCTTCAGCTACGCGGCTATCGGCGGCAGTCGCTCATTTGCATTTTCCAGTAAGCACGCACGCAGAGACCCCTCCCGTAGATCGACCTTAGATGCATAATACGGTTTATTTCTGGTGTGTACTCGGTTGGCCCCAAACTCTGACACACCCACACCCAAACCGGAGCAGAGCCGAGCCGCCTTCAACTTTAACATTTTGCCACGGATCGCGGACTTTGGCACTTTTTGTGGGTTGCAATTAAACGTTTGTTTGCCACAAGAGCGAGAGACTGAGACTGTCTGCAACGCCCAAAAGTCTCTCGCGGATCCACCCATGACGATTGCCTTTGACATTTGGGCAGCTGGAATACTGAAAACAGGGAACAGGGAAACGAGAAAAACGGGGAAAACTAAAACCAATTTAAAAGCGTCAGGGATTTGAGGCAGCTTGTTGTTTCTGTTTCTGTTTTCTGCCATAACTAAGCCGAGGCCCGATCGCTCTCTCAGATCGCTCCACAGAGCCTCAGAGCCACTGAGCCACTGAGCCGCACC